GGTACAGTCATCGGGATTCAAGGCCAGAAGAGGGCAGCTTTTGGAGAAGTTTGAGGGACTTTGCTGGCACTGTAATAAACCTGGGCACAAGAGATCTCAATGCTGGCAACTTAAACACAGGGAATATGCCACGGCAGAAAAGGCTGCTAACCAAAAAGATTGTTGGAACTGTGGAGAGCAAGGACATATGAGGAGCCAGTGAAAGAAGAATACAACCAATAAGTCAGCCTCAGGGAAACCAGTAGTGGTTGGTGTTGAGGTATGCCCACCAACCCCCATCGTGAAAGTCCCAACAGCTAGGTGTAAAATGCCAAGCACACATAGTGTCTACGTGAAAGGAAAGCTGGATGGCCAAAAGTGCAACTTTGTCATAGATTCTGCATCTCAGCAAACCCTCCTGAGTATCAAGATGTTAGATCACAAAGGAGTACCTGAAGCCATGCAGAAGCTCTGTAGTGTGACAGGACATTCTGCAAGGTTGTGGGGACCAGTGTGGGTAACTATTGAGCTCATGAGCATGAAGGATAGACACAAAGTATACTTGGCCAATATTGAAGACCAATGCATATTAGGGTTGGACTACTTACTACTGAGGAAGTTTGTAATTCACTTCAATAAAATGACATTTAGAAACAACAAAGGCCAAATTCCGGTAAGTGTCAAAAGAGAGGTTGAATTAACCAGGTGCCATCAAGGTGATGGAGTTTATGATGGTGAAGTGGAACCAGGTATTGATATTAAAGCAGAGCAGGAGAAAGATCAAGATTTGAAGCCAATAATTGATTTTATAAAAGCAAGTATTTTGCGCCCTACTTGGGAGAAGGTGTCTAAGTCTAAGCCCTGTGACAAAGAACTATTAGGCACAATGGGACCAGTTGAAGCTTGAAGATGATATTCTTCTCTGGAGATAGGAAAGTGACGACCTGGCAAACAGTTATACAGAGAAAGTTACGGGAAGTTGTGCTGCGTCAATTCCATGGTAGTTTAACAGGTGGACATCTCGGAGTTAAGAAGACATTGAGTCACCTACGACAGAGATTTTACTGGATAGGTATGAGGCAAGATGTGGAAGAATGGTGCAGGACCTGTAGTACATGTTGTGCTAAAAGGGGACCCAAGCTCCAATGAAGTTATATCAAGTTGGCACCCCAATGGAAAGAGTAGCCATTGACATTGTTGGTCCTTTGCCTCGGTGAAATAATCCATCACCACACAAATGTACTTGTTTCCAGCACGAGTTTAAGTGGCCTGAGGCATATGCAATACCAAATCAGGGAAGCTACAACTGTAGCTTTGGCTATTAGTGATTTCTTTTTGAGGTTTCATATGCCATACGAACTGCATTCAGATCAAGACCATAACTTTGAATCAGCTGTGTTCCATGAATGCTGCAAGTTGTTTGGCATCCGAGAGACCAGGACAACGCCACTTCACCCACAGTCTGATGGGATGGTAGAAAAGTATAATTGGACACTGGGGCAGGAATTGGCAAAGTTTTGTAATAGTCGTCAAGATGACTGGGATGTCTTACTCCCTCCATTGTTGGTGGCCTATAGAACAGCAGAGCATGAAGTCACTGGATACACTCCAGCAAAGCTGAAATAATTGGTGGTAGTGTCCAGGGTCACTGATGAGGAGTGGAATTATCTGAAACTAGTCTGTCCCACAGACACACACCCCAATGAAAGAATAGACCATTCCAATGTATGAAATGAAGAAGTAAAAAAAAAAAATCAATACATATACAATTGCATTTTATTATACACATTCATAGAATACACTAACTTTCAGTCAGGGAGAAGAACGTTACAAAACAAATAATGGAAAAAACATTCTGTAAATGTAAAATGATGTAGGGATGGCATTGCAAAAAAAATGCAAATATGAATATAGGGATGATTGTTTGTTTTTGAATTTCGC